TATTAAAATTTATTTGTTGGTCCTTCTGACGAAAGAATTTGAGGCGCATTAAACTCATTTACTCTCTACATCATCACCAAATATTGCATTAGTTTGTTTGGCTATATACTGGACGTAGAAAAAGCATTGTAAAATTAAACTGCAAAGATGGAACTTTTAATCCCAAATTAAGTATAACAAAAACTGCTGACTGTATTCAAAGACTGGTGAAAATGTATTATATTTATTTAATCAAAGTATATCAAGTTTTATATTTCAAAAGTCATAAAACATCGCTAGTATTTGCAACTCAGAAATCGGAATTAAATATCAGATCGTATCGGGTTTTAGATATTTTTGTTTAATATGTTTCCGGTATCGATTAAAACAGAAAACAATTGCTTATCAAATGGTCAAAGACGGTGTTTCTTTGGTAAATATGAAATAAAACAACTTGTTTGAATTAAACTTTATTTCTGATAGACATTGATAATGACCTTCGTGTAAATGTTTACTCAATCTGTAAACGTTTCGCCCTTACTTTGACCATAACGCTAGCCTACAGATCCAGTAATGTAAATAAAGTGGAACTTATGGCGCAAGATTTTCTGCGCACTTTGTGGATGTATTTTGCCACTTTCCAGCATTGGTCAATCAACATCCTTTCATCCCCTAATTCTAGACATATTCCATAACCAACCTGTATATTTTATCCACCTCCTTAGCCTTTATAATCGTCTCTACAGACCAATAAGCTTGTAATGCCATCCAACAACAAATTCACAACAAGCTAGTTTACTGGCCTGTAGAAACGACTATAAAGGCTTATACATCCCCAAAGTGCGCAGAAAATCTTGCGCCGTAAATTCCACTTTATTTACATAGTGTGATCTGTAGCGTTATGGTCAGAGACTAAAATATAAAACCAACTTAGCTCCACCCTAGAGTCCAGGGCTAGAAATAATCATTTTTGTTTACTGGTCACTCGGGCTATCGCCTTAAATTTTTACTGGTCAGCTTAGTACTTTCACTGTCCCACTGGGCCTATAGATTTTAAAAAGTCTGGCCCAAAACCATAATAATAATAGTAATAATTTTTTTATATTGTGATACTTAGAAGTACAACTTAACAAAACAAGAAACAGCAGAAGTTGGGACACACAACCCTGTCAAGTTAACTAGCCCGACTGTGAATGAATTTTATTATGCATAAAAAAATGCTGACCAAAAGGGCACATGCCCTCTGCAATTTATTAGCCCAGATTGAAAATTCACTGGCCCCAGACCAGCGGGCCATCAATTATTTCGAGCCCTGGAGTCTGAACCATGTGCCATAGGACCATGAATTTCACAATTTTGATCAAAGGTTAAGTTTATTATAATCAGGGAAATAGTTTGCTTGCCGACTGTTTATGAGTAGAGGAGATTTTCAAAGGAGTAATGTATTTTCAACATCTAACCAACTAAGCCCCATCCCAGGGCCTGAACCATGGACCAAGAGGTCAGGAATTTTACAATTATGGAACAATCATGCAAACAGTTTGCCTCCTTGGAATCCATGAATTAAACAAGAGGCCCATGGGCCACATCGCTCACCTGAGCACATTGGCTAGGCAAAAGCACAAATCAGTTCAGTATTGAAAAGATTGGGGTGGGGGGGGGGGGGGGGTAATTTGAACAAACTTGAATCTACACTACCTGAGGATGCTTCCATATCAGTACGACTAAACATAGCTTTTCTGTTCTTGAGAAGAAATATTTTTTCTATATGTTCTGATGTAAAAGTTTCAATCCCCCATTGGGCCCCACCCTACCCCCGAGGGTCATCATTTGAACAAAATTGAATTTACACTACCTGATCATTTGAACAAACTTGAATCTACACTACCTGAGGGTGCTTCCATATCAAAATGACTAAACATGTTTTTCAGTTCTTGAAAAGAAGATATTGTCCTTTATGTTCCTATGTAAAATTTTGGATCCTCCATTGTGGCCCCGCCCTACCCCGGGGGGTCATGATTTGAACAAATTTGAATCTACACTACCTGAGGATGCTTCCATATCAATATGACTCATCATGGCTTTGCTGTTCTTGAGAAGAAGATTTTTAAAGGTTTTTCCTACATATTTCTATGTAAAACTTTGATCCTCCATTGTGGCCCCGCCCTACCCCCGGGGGTCATGATTTGAATAAAGAAGAAGGTATGGTTTTAGCTTTATTGTGCCCTAAAAATTTAATGTTTTCAAAAAGTTTGGAAACTGGCTTATATATTAGTTGAGTATATGACTGTAATAAATTAGGAAAAAATATAGCATGATGGAATACCATTCTGGATATATGACGTCATTAATTTGATGCATTTCTCTATTTTAAACAGAAAAAGCCTCAAAATGACACATTTCAAGGGTTATTATCCTTAAGAAAATAGTGTCCACAGCCGTCGCCCACGTTAATTTTTAGATATGTTTTGTAAAATTCTTTGAAAAATCACATATCTCAAAATCTTTGTGGGCGATGCCTGTGGACAATATTATCTGAAAGAAAATTTCATTGAAAATTGATGTCTTCTGCAACTTTTTGAGAAAATACGGGAAAATGCACAAGTTTATGACGTCACAATTAGCATTTGGAAGGTCATGTGAGAAAAAAGATTTGTATGATCTTTCTGCATGGAATTTCAATAATTCAAAAAGCATGAGTTTTGATTTTTTACATCACTTTTATTTTTAAGAAAAACATAGGGCAAGATTTGTATTGAAACCGTACCTTGTTCTTTGAATCTACACTACCTGAGGATGCTTCCATATAAATATGACTCATCATGGCTTTGCTGTTCTTGAGAAGAAGATTTTTAAAGGTTTTTCCTATATATTTCTAAGTAAAACCTTCATCCTCCATTGTGGCCCCACCCTACCCCCGGGGGTCATGATTTGAACAAATTTGAATCTACACTATCTGAGGATGCTTCCATATAAATATGACTCATCATGGCTTTGCTGTTCTTGAGAAGAAGATTCTTAAAGGTTTTTCCTATATATTTCTATGTAAAACTTTCATCCTCCATTGTGGCCCCGCCCTACCCTTGGGGGTCATGATTTGAACAAATTTGAATCTACACTACCTTAGGATGCTTCCACATGAGTTTCATCTTTCCTGGCCCTGTGGTTCTTGAGAAGAAGATTTTTAAAAGATGCTATTAATTTTTCACTAATTCTTTATTATCTCCCCTTGAAAGAGGGCGTGGCCCTTCATTTGAAGAAACTTGAATCCCCTTCACCCAAGGATACTTTTTAGCAAGTTTGGTTGAAATTGGCCCAGTGGTTCTTGAGAAGAAGTCGAAAATGTTAAAAGTTTACAGACAGACGGACAGACAGACGGACAGACAGACGAACGTCGGACAAAAAGTGATCAGAATAGCTCACTTGAGCCTTTGGCTCAGATGAGCTAAAAAAAAATATACTTCATGATATAATATTTTTAATACAAGACCCAAACCAGAAGCCTGAACCCAGAGGCCATGAATTTGATTTATTTAGTAGAGGGCTTAATGGTCTTCCTTACCATGCATTCAGTTTTACTTTTACATGTGCAGAAGTAGAGGAGAAGATTTTTCAATATTTTGTACATTTTCACTATATGATCATTTTCCCATCTCTGGAGGCAGAGGCCTTACCCTGAGGGTCATGAAAAAATCTATTTTGGTAAAAAATTTCATGTTCTTTCTCACCATACATTCATTTTTCCTTCCAAATGTGAGAGTGAGTTTTTGAAATTTTGGCTATTTTATCAGATTTTGCCCAGCCCAAAACAGTCCCAATGCATACTCAAAATTTATGTTCAACTTTAACAATATGCTTCATATAAAATTTGAAACAAGAGGCCCATGGGCTACAACACCCACCTGAGTAACTTTGGCACTGCTGTTCTTCACCGATTTTCCCCCTTGTAATACTTATTGTGGTCCCACCCTACCCCCAGGGGTCATACTTTGAATAATTTAGAATCTACACTACCCCAGGATGCTTCCACTTAAGTTTCAGTTTTTATGTCCCAATGGTTCTTAAGAAGAAGATTTTTAAAGATTTTTCCTATATAATTTAATGTAAAACTTAGATTCCCTAATGTGGCCCCACCCTACCCACAGGGGTCATGATTTGAACAATTTAGAATCTAAACTACCCGAGGATGCTTCCACTTAAGTTTCAGCTTTTCTGGCCCAGTGGTTCTTGAGAAGAAGATTTTTATTAAAGATATTTTCTATATATTTCAATGTAAAACTTAAGTAGTTATTGTAGCCCCGCCCTACCCCTGGGGGTCATGATTTGTATAATTTGGAATCTACACTACCCAGGATGCTTACACATAAGTTTCAGCTTTTCTGGCCCAGTGGTTCTTGAGAAGAAGATTTTAAAAGATATTTTCTACATATTTCAATGTAAAACTTGGATTCCTTATTGTAACCCCCCCCCCCCCCCCCCCCCGGGGTTATGATTTGATCAATTTAAAATCTACACTACCCCAGGATGCTTCAACATTAGTTTCAGCTTTACTGGTCCAGTGGTTCTTGAGAAGAAGATTTTTTAATGACCCCACCCTATTTTTATCTTTTCTTGATTATCTCCCCTTGGAAGGGGGCTTGGCCCTTTATTTTAACAATTTAAACTCCCCTTCACCAAGGGATGCTTTGTACCAATTTTGGTTAAAATTGGCCCAATGGTTCTTGCTAAGTTGAAAATGTGGAAAGTTTACAGATGGACAGATAGACGGATGGACGACGGACAATGGGTGATCAGAAAAGCTCACTTGAGCTTTCAGCTCAGGTGAGCTAAAAGAAAAATTGGCCAAGTAATATTCAAGAAGAAGTTAAAATATTCAATTTTTAATGGACAAAGACGAATCATTTTAAGTCACCTTAGTGACTCTCAGGTCACCTAGAAAACAAAGAAACAGATCATACATACTAAGTATGGCACAGTCTTCAACCAGTTGAGCTAAAAACATGCAAATTTTCAAAACTTACTTTGAGAAGGCACTGTATCTGTTTTTCCTGCTGAATTTTTTGTTCTCTTTCTTCTCACACTTTTATGTGCTGATCTGCAACCACTACCCACATCTGGAAATCCTGCTGAAACAACAATACATAAATTAAAGTTTGCAATATTACAATTTGCATAAAATTTATCTCATTATCATATTTATTAATGTTGATTCAAAGTAGCAATGAAACAAGAGGCCCTGGGCCACATCGCTCACCTGAGTAACTTTGGCCATGCTGTTCTTCACCAGATTTCCCCCCTTGTAATACCTATTGTGGCCCCGCCTTACCCCGGGGGGTCATGATTTGAACAATTTAGAATCTACACTACCCCAGGATGCTTCCAAATAAGTTTCAGCTTTTCTGGTCCAGTGTTTCTTGAAAAGAAGATTTTTCTTATATATTTCAATGTAAAACTTGGATTCCCTATTGTGGCTCCGCCCTACCCCCAGGGGTCATGATTTGAAGAATTTAGAATCTACACTACCCCAGGATGCTTCCACATAAGTTTCAGTTTTTCTGGCCCAGTGGTTCTTGAGAAGAAGATTTTTAAAGATTTTTCTTATATATTTCAATGTAAAACTTGGATTCCCTATTGTGGCCCCGCCCTTCCCCCGGGGATCATGATTTGAACAATTTAGAATCTACACTACCCGAGGATGCTTCCACTTAAGTTTCAGCTTTTCTGGCCCAGTGGTTCTTGAGAAGAAGATTTTTAAAGATTTTTCTTATATATTTCAATGTAAAACTTGGATTCCCTATTGTGGCTCCACCCTACCCACAGGGGTCATGATTTGAACAATTTAGAATCTACACTACCCCAGGATGCTTCAATATAAGTTTCAGCTTTTCTGGCCCAGTGGTTCTTGAGAAGAAGATTTTTTAAGATATTTCCTATATATTTCAATGTAAAACTTGGATTCCCTATTGTGGCCCCGCCCTTCCCCCGGGGATCATGATTTGAACAATTTAGAATCTACACTACCCGAGGATGCTTCCACTTAAGTTTCAGCTTTTCTGGCCCAGTGGTTCTTGAGAAGAAGATTTTTAAAGATTTTTCTTATATATTTCAATGTAAAACTTGGATTCCCTATTGTGGCTCCACCCTACCCACAGGGGTCATGATTTGAACAATTTAGAATCTACACTACCCCAGGATGCTTCAATATAAGTTTCAGCTTTTCTGGCCCAGTGGTTCTTGAGAAGAAGATTTTTTAAGATATTTCCTATATATTTCAATGTAAAACTTGGATTCCCTATTGTGGCCCCGCCATACCCCCGGGGGTCACGATTTAAACAATTTAGAATCTACACTATCCCAGGATACTTCGATATAAGTTTCAGCTTTTCTGGCCCAGTGGTTCTTGAGAAGAAGATTTTTAAAGATTTTTCTTATATATTTCAATGTAAAACTAAGATTCCCTATTGTGGCCCCGCCCTACCCCTGGGGGTCATGATTTTAACAATTTAGAATCTACACTATCCCAGGATGCTTCCACATAAGTTCAGGGTTCTCACTAGGATTTTGCCAACTTGAGTCCCAGGACTCAAGATTTCTGAGAAGGTTGCGTCCCAGCTAAATTTGATGCGTCCCAGAATAATTATGTTGAGTCCCAACTAAATTATTGCAGTATCCTTCCATCCAAACATCAATAAAAATCTTTATCATTTTATCAGTTTGTTTACGCAATATTAACATATTCAAGTATATAAACCATGTAAACTGGTAATGCATTCAAGCCACATTCTAAAATACACGCGTAATCAGTTGCCATAAAAATTAACTTGGTGTTTATAAAGCTAAAATTAACTGTTGCATAATCAACTAGTACCCGAAAGTTGACTGTATACAATCACAGGTGTCATGTGCAATGAGGCGTAACTAATCCTGTCGGTAGTCTGCACTGGGTGAAATTCACAAGATAATCAAGCCGCATTGTGTATACAAGCAGTAATTATGGTTTCTACATGTAGACACTCAAGATTCAAAAGTGTTTTTTTTTTTTTTTTTTTAAAAAAAGAGAAGCTGCAGTGTGTTTACAGCTGTCGGAGTTTGACATGCAACATTATTATGACTATGGACTAATAAACATGAAGTATTTTAATTATGATCAATCCCTGTTTAAAAAAAAAGAGAAATAAGTACAAGAAAAGTTATTTCTTGGATGAACTTTATGATAGTTACAGGAAGGTTTCGATTAAATATTTCTTTGACAAATCCTAACATCTAAATTCCCCGTTTTTGAAATTACCCGAATTTTCTCGCTAACGAGGACGCGTCCGATCATGAGTCCGCGGACGCATCGATTTTAAGAACCTTGCGTCCCAAGTAATTTTGCTGCGTCTAGGACGCAGATTCTTGCGTTAATGAGAACCCTGAAGTTTCAGCTTTTCTGGCCCAGTGGTTCATGAGAAGAAGATTTTTTAATGACCCCACCATATTTTTGTCTTTTCTTGATTATCTCCCCTTGTAAGGGGACTTGGCCCTTTATTTTAATAATTTACACTCCCCTTCATCCAAGGATACTTTGTACCAAGTTTGGTTAAAATTGGCCTAGTGGCTCTTGAGAAGAAGTTGAAAATGTGAAAAGTTTACAGACGGATGGACAGACGGATGGATGGACGGACGACGGACAATGGGTGATCAGAAAAGCTAACTTGAGCTTTCAGCTCAGGTGAGCTAAAAATGTGGAACAATTCTTGTGCAATTGGAACAAATCTCTGGACATAACCTGTTACTGGATAAAAACTCAATTTATTTTTTTTAATTTAATTTGTTGAATTAATCAAAGTACTGTGAATACTGATAGACGGTGGCATGAATGATTTTGTTTGATTGTTGTTTGTTTTAATTAAAACGTCCCTCTCGGGAATTTTTCACTCATAATGAGACGCCACCATTGCCATTGGTTGGCTGCAAATTTTATATCTATACTCAGCACTCAGGGCCATTGTGCAGTGAGGGATCTTTTTTTCTGGCAAGCACTTACTGCGACACGTGACCTCAGTTTAACGGTCTCATCCGAGGGACCGGTCTCCATGTCCCAGAGTTGGATTCGAACCCGCGACCTAAGGATCGACTCCTTACTCCTTGACTCTAGAGCAAACGCTCTAATTACTGGCCACTGACATGAATGAATTAAATTAAATCAAATGATATGAGAATCTGTAAAATGATATGGAAATTATGAAAGTTTGTTGCAATTTTTCACAATACATGTATTTGATGAGTTATTCTATATTTGCGTCAGTATGATGAGGACATGTATTAATCAAAGTTGTTAAACAATTTATTGCATGAAATTTTCTACATTTATTTAGTTTTATTATAAAATAATGTTTGAAGAAAAAAAATGCGCTGAAATGTCAGAAACGAAAGCTTGATCATTTCAATCTTTTTTTTCATTAATTAATCCTTAAAACAATTCATTTTACCCTAAATGTTAAATTAAGGGAATCAAAGGTTCTAATATATTCATGTGGTGACCGAACATATTTATTTTAAGATAGCTTTCTATACACGCGTGCGTGGTTCCATTTAGGCACTCTTCCAAGTTAGATGTGCATTTTTTTTTTAGCAGAAATGTGTTTGAAATATTTGAGGAACAATTAATAAACCTATTGTGAGTTGCAGATATGAGCGAGTATCAGTAAATTCCGAATTCATTGTACTTTCTTCGCATAATTTGAAAATAATCAGCATGCATTTCAGCGATATCAAGTATCAAATGAAAAAGTTAAATTTTACAACAAAAAGTGTCATGAAATCGTGGTGTTTTGAAGTTAGAAATTGTGATTTTCTAATTTAAGATCTTATACTCAGTGGTTAATTATCAAATTTTGCTAATCTGGAATAAAATTGAACTCACAATATTTTTTTTTAAACAAAAACTAACTTTTCTTAAAATATATGGTAAAAAGGGAAATGATGAATCACTTTTGGCGTTGTACTGTAGATTGTGCAACATAAATCATATGCTGAAAGATAATGAAATAGACTTTATCTTTGGATCTCCATTTTTGCCAAATTTCCAGTAATTTACAATGTCCTTATTTCTATAAGGTTGAAAGACTTCGAGAATTGTACAGTAGTTTTACCTTTTTGTTTGATATATATATATATATATATATATATACTGTTCGAAAAAAAAAAAAAGAACAGAATAACAAAATATCTTTCACCCTCTATTTCTCTTAATATCTTAATATGCACTGACCCCGCTAGTCATTGCGTAATGCGAAGTTTTGAAAACACATGTAGGAGAAGACTGCCCTATATTAAGTCAACTGAATTCGCAAGAAAATCCTAATATTTCATGTACATGTATTTGTGTAGCTTTTTTCTTACACTTTTTAAAGATAAATTTTATTCGAGGCACGATGGAATTTTCAAATACAAATGAAATATATGGGTAACTTTTGTTCGTCACAGTCTTATAATTATAGCTTTGATAAATTAGCATCCTTTCAGTAGTTTTTGTGTCCGAGATAATTAGACAAAGACTTTTGTTTTTAGATAGAACCGTAATAAACTTTGCAAAATGGCATCGCATCTGCCTTCAACAACTCTCTTTTATGTAAACTTCAAGAGGACGTGATTTTTATTTCCATTCCGAAAATATATCTTTTTCTAATATAGTATTGTCAACAGATACTAGAAATTCAAATAATCAAAAGACATAAAATTTCAATAAACTGTATAAGTATTATTGTATAAAAATTCCACAAAACGTCTCAAATAAAACATTTAAAGGCCGAGGTTTTCAACCGGTCGGTTTTCCTCAGGTAAGTTTGGTGTGGAGCTTAATTGAAACGGCTGTGAAGCAAGCTGGCTTGTGTATACCTACCTATATACACAGGATGTTACCTGTATATTACCTATAAATGTTTTCCTAAGACATAGTTTAACTTCGCGTGTTGGTCAATCGAAATGTTGATCGTCAAATTTATGAAATAAAACATGCTAAATTTTTTATGTAGACTGATTCCTTTAGTTCAATTCTTTTTTTAAAATATGTTTGAATAAAGGAGACAATTTTAGTTTAATTTTGTGCTTTAATAAATTTCATGCAGTTCTGCAACAAGGAATACGCAGTCCTTGAATCATGTTACCTGAATTTTCGGAAATGCAGATATTTGGGGATCAATGCTTTCCAAGCATGGAGTATCTCGTAATTAGGGAATACCAAATTGGGAACATCTCGTAATAAGCGTTTGTCACACATCCAACAGCGAAGAAACCGCCGAGAGTGTGTTGGTTTAACGATAATTATTTTAATTCCTAAGATGGTAAGGTGTAACGTGAAACCATTATCCATAAATATTTTCCCCCAGATTTTTTTTTTACTTTTAATAAATTTTATTGAAATTTTACATTTACACAACGTTAAAAAGGCCTTGTGTACGAATTTACTTTTTGCATTTGTTTCATGTTCAGCAAACTTTATGTACGAATTGACTTCTGTAGTTTGCATACGAACTGACTCCTTATATACGAATCAGTTTTTGTACGAATTAACATTAAGTCGGCGTAATTTAATGAATATTCATGAGGCGAGAAATATCATAACGGCAATAACTGTCAACCACAACTCCTCTACAAGTGACACTAACTTAGATCACCACGGAGTATACATACTGTGTACAATTACACCTTTTGCTAAATATATAAATAATCTTTATGTCAATTTTTTATACTGCTTTCCAGGCAAGAATCTGACTTTGAGCATACTTTACTCATTTAAACCAAACATTCATTTTTATTTTGTTTCTATATATATATAACATTCTTTCTTGTATTCTCATTCAATCAAATAACCTGTTAATTAAATTATATATAAGGATTTCTTTAGCAAAGGGGAGTAACTCTCATTTGCTTCACATCACAATTGTGTACTCTGCCTCCTAGATACCAACAAGCAAAGAAAAGGCACATTTACTTATAATTAAATTTAATACATGTATTTACATTGATATTATTGCATTTAGCTTGTTTGCTTAGTACTCAGGGGCAGAGGAGAAGTTTTTCAAAGCATTAATGCATTTTGCTAATTAATCAATAGAACCTCACCCAAGCTCAAGAACCCCTCACCAAGGGGCCATGAAATTCAAAATTTTGGATGAGGCATCCTTTCTCATCATAACTATGTATTTAGTTTGTTTAATTAATACCAAGGGGCAGAGGAGAAGATTTTCAAAGCATTAATTTATTTTCAGTATATAATAAATACCCCCCCCCCCCAACATGGAACCCCTGACCAAGGAGCCATGAAATTCACAATTTTGGAAGAGGCACTCTTGCTCATCATAACTATCTACTTAGTTGATCAGCTCAATACCCAGGAGCAGAGAAGATTTTCAAAGCATTAATTTATTTTCAGTATATAGAAAAAAAGCCCCCCCCCCCCACATGGAACCCCTCACCAAGAGGGGCCATGAAATTCACAATTTCGGAAGAGACACTCTTGCTCATCATAACTATGTATTTAATTCACTGGCTTAATACCCAGGAGCAGAGGAGAAGATTTTCAAAGAATTAATGCATTTTCACTATATAATCATTAGAGCCCCACCCTAACACCAGAACCCCTGACCCTGGGGCCATGAAATTCACAATTTTGGAAGAGGCACTCTTGCTCATCATAACTATGTACTTAATTCATCGGCTCAATACCCAGGAGCAGAGGAGAAGATTTTCAAAGAATTAATGCATTTTCACTATATATTCATTAGAGCCCTGCCCTAACACCAGAACCCCTGACCCACGGGCCATGAAATTCACAATTTTTGAAGAGGCACTCTTGCTCATCATAACTATATACTTAATTCATCGGCTTAATACCCAGGAGCAGAGGAGAAGATTTTTAAAGAATTAATGCATTTTCACTATATATTCATTAGAGCCCCGCCCTAGCACCAGAACCCCTGACCCTGGGGCCATGAATTTCACAATTTTGGTAGAGGGCTCAATGCTTATTACAATCATGCCAACAGTTTGACTGCTTGATGTCCAGGAGTAAAGAAGAAGACTTTTAAAGATTGCATTAATTTTGATGCTTTTAGCCCCACCCCTCAGGCCCCAGGGGGGCAGGGGCCATGAATTTCACAATTTTTACTCCCCTTCACCCATAGATGCTATATGCCAAAATTGGTTGAAATTGGTTCAGTGGTTCCAGAGAAGAAGCTAAAAATGTTCAAAAGTTTACGACCGATTGACGACGAACGACGATAGACAAAAACAGATAGCAATAGGTCACCTGAGTGACTCAGGTGACCTAAAAATGGAAATCGAAAATAGACGTTCGAATTCTGTGAAGAATAAAATGTGAGGTATCTAACTTGCATGTATATCCAAGAAACGTTTTCAAACTTGTAACATTTTAAAAAGATCATATGCGGCACTGTACAGACTGGAAATTCATATGTATTTTGTTGTGTGTTACATGTAAATAGTTTTAGAATAGATGTAAATAGACACTGCAAACGAAACGGTATTTAATATGTTAATACCTTCAAGCTTTCAGAAGTTTGTTTATATGCATTAACATATGCTGTATTGTGAAACACAGGTTTAAATCATGTTTCTGGGTTTTATATTATATTGAGATTCTCTTTTTAACAATATTTTCCATTTTTGAATTGTTGGTACATGATTTTTTTTTTCAGTACTTTGAGCATAGCGGGGTTCTCATTATAAACTTTTTTTCTTGAGTCATCTTGCTGTGGTCATGATGATGATGAATATTTTGATAAATTCCTTAGAATCCACCCCCCCCCCCTTTCTCATAAGGGTTTAATAGTTTACTTTAATTTTTGTGTTGCTGTAATCATATTTTAAGCTCCACACTGTATATGGCAATTTTTATTGAATAATTGAAAATAAAAAAAATCAGATACTTTTTCCATTTTCATTTTTATTTTTTTAGTTGACTGCGTAAAATTTGGAATTTTATTTTTATTTTTATCTATCCCCCCCGACCCAATTTTTCAAAAAAATTTCCCGTAAATCATTTAATAAAAAAATGTTGGCCTAATCTTAGGATACTTCTCAGTATCACTTTCAAGCATAATCGTGACTGTTCCAAGATGTAACCTGCCTATCAGCTTCAGTATTGGAATAAATGTTTCAAATAAAAAGTGGCCCCCTGGTCATCTCCATACTAGTAAATTCTTGGAAAATTTTAATCATGTTGATAAACAAGATTAGGTCTAACAGTATGTAATTCAATATATCATTTCCCTTGATGAAACTCCGTCTCAATAAAAGAAAACAGATTTTCAGCATCATAAGACATGTGATAAAGGATCGTAAGACATGTGACAAAGGATCTTAAGACGTGACAAAGGGTCTTACAGCATGTGACAAAGGAACTTAAGACATAAAATTGTGCAGGGTTGTCCCTAAGAATTAAAACAGCTGGGGACATTTAAAAGGTAGAAGGGGGTTTGGGGTGCCTCACCTAATAGAGGGTTGCGAGGGAATACCAGAATAACCGGGGGTTTACGCCATTATATGGATTCCCCGGCTCCCGGCTCTTAGGGACAACCCTGTTATGACAAATGATCTTAAGACAAGTGACAAAGGGAAAACAGATTTAACCACAGGTAATCAGATTATAGGGGAAATGTGCATAATTGACTTTTAAAAAGAAAATTCAATTTTCAAATTTCATTGAAATCATTTCCATCTTTGAAATCTACCAAAAACATGATGAACCTACTTTCTCAATAAACACATAGATAATTCCATTCTTGTTTCAAAATACAAGTTCTTCTGAAGCATTTGACTGAAAGGAAAGGGTTTGTGAGAAGATCGAGTAACGGATCAGAAACCCTTTGCTAGTGAAGATGCTTTACCCTGCAAGAATACTCCGTGGCAAGTTTGGTTGAAATTGGCCCAGTGGTTCTGGAGAAGAAGATAAAATTGTAAATAGTTTACGACAACGACATTTTGGCTCAGGTGAGCTAAAAGGTGTATATCCATTGCACAAAAAACAGTGTGCCCTTTCTCGATTTATTCTCCATGTTTAAACTGCCTTCTCACTGCCTTCTCAAAAAATTACAGTGTGTCCTAAACATATTCTTTTAATATTCAAAGCCTTGTATCCCAAAAGAATCTCGTTTTTGTCACTATTGTAAAAATGTTGTAGAAAATGAAATACATTTCATATATGACTGTCCTATATATAAAGATTTGCGAAAAAAGTATTATCCTTTGAACATCTATAATTTAAATGATAACATGTTGAAGGAAAATCATTGTAAAGTACTTTGTAATCCTGACAATGCAGTTTATTCTAGAAGGCTATGCGAATTTTTACATGAATGTTTTGAATTGTGTTCTAAAAATAGAGCACAATAATATTTATTTAATGCATTAATTAGTTTATCTCTGTCCATATTATACTGTTTATACTATTTGCATAATGATTATGTATAACTTCAAGTTGTAAAAGTAGTTGACTTCACTGATTTGTACACTTGCATGTATGTATGTACTTTAGTATATGTTTTAGTAATCTGAAAACACACTGTATTTTTCATTTTGTTTGTAACATGGTTGTATGCCAACATGTTTGGTGAATCAATAAATTGAATTGAATTGAATTACTATTTCCACAACAAAACATTTCCTATAACTGTTGTTAATAGCCCTCCTGGGCCTGAAATTGAAACCATCAAAAATTTCACCTATGTAGCTGCCATTTTGGTGGCAAGACAATTCAGTCCAAATTGCTTTGTGGAGATGTCAACTACAAGAGTATCTGAAAGAGATCAAAGAATATTTTTTTTTAAATCGAGCTTTCATGAAATGGAGATATGAATTTAGAGTAATAAATGTTTGTGCACAATATACAGTTTTGTCTATAAATGGCATTGCAGCTCTCCTGTCTGTCAATATTTAGATATCCTTTTGGAGTGTTACATTTCTGCTGCTATATTTCAAAGCTTATTTTGATTTTTTTTTCATTTCTTTTGGATAGAGCATTTTTATTCTGTTTCAATTATTTTCTGAATATTTCAGTGTGACACAAAGGGCATCATATTTGATCTCCAAAAATGCTTGATCTGTTAATTACAAAGTAATTTCCTTGAACTTTATTCAACAATTAAATTAAAATTTAAGCTTATAATGACTCTACACATACATTCTATAACAATGTCCAGGTCTAAGCATGTTTCCATCTTTCGTCTCACAATAAGAAGAAAAATATTTTTCGCAATACGATGTTGAGGTGTCACCTGCATATCAAAATAATAACCTTTCTCTAATCTTTAAACCTGACTTATAATTAACAGTTCAAACTGCTGTACAGCCAGTATTTTTCGTGTTATATGACCATACCAAAACACCATGTGCCATCCGCCATGTTCTTATGAATCGCTGATGCTTGCAATTTACGCAAAATCTCTTTAATTAAGGACGAATGAAAATTTTTAACTATGTGATAAGCAGGCGTATTTTAACAAAATATAGCAAAATTTATACCCGATTATGTCTGTCGTGCGAGTATTTTGCTTATTTTCTTGCAAGAAAAACAATAACAAAATCCTCCTTCCCATTTCTGTATCGAACTCTAATGACTTCCGGTATGGAGGGCCATGCGCGTTAAAACTTCCGAAAAATTACAGTTAAGGAGGGATATATATTCTTGTCTGGTTTCTGACTACACTAAATATTCCAAGTATATTTGCTTGTATGTCTTATATACTTAGCTATAATATATTTAAAAGATCATATTTTTCTTTTCTTATCATAATTGTCAACTTAAGATAGAAATGGTAACCTGAGTTTGAAATCCAGCAGGGACTATATTCTTTGCGCAACTGCGGCGTATGAAAAATCTCCTTTTCTGCATATCAAAATCATTTACAGAACAAAATTTCTAGTTATTTTTTTTTTTTTAAACAATCAAAGGCTTAAAGAAATTTTGAAATGTAGCTAAAATTAATAATAATGTCCTAAACTTTTAAAACATAGCAAATAATAATGATTTTCTAAACAAACTACAATCTTGTTAGGTTTTGAAAGCCTCCAACCTAAAAACGGATTTGAGCAAAAAATCAGTAAAAAGTGTTTTTTCTCTCTTACTAAACGGTCAAAGCTTTTTGTTTTTGTATCATTTTGTATATTTATATGACTACTTTACCTTTTGTAAAAATAAGAAATATTTAAATATAAGAAGTATATAAATATAATTATTATACCTCTGTGATTTTTTTCTATATAAAAATATGACAAATAAACCTGCTATTTTTTCTAAACAACCCCTACTGTGGAATAGTTTTTGTGCTATTTGACCATGGTGAAATAGTCATTAAACTATTCACCGGCAGCATTCCATTTCCCTCATTTTTCATCTCAAAACTATCTGGTTTGTGGTATTGTGAAGTATCCGGTTTGTGACGTAACAAAAGTAAAGTCGACTTTGGTATAATAAAACACCTATTTACTGACTATTCGGACAATAGCAAGTTCACCGTCCCCCTCGACAGCAACTATTTCCCTCGGCTGCGCCGTTGCTGTCTTGGGGGACGATAAACTTGCTATTGTCCTCATAGCCAGTAAATAGGTGTATACTAATATATCCTAACAAATTAAGAAAAACAGAGGAAATTCGGATTAGCCAATATCTATTTAAGTTAAATAATGTCAATTAATTTGGTACAGTCATCTGATAGACCCGGTATGGTAACATCTTTTTGTGCAACAAGAAAAACATTTTATCTTTAAGGACATACGCAACATAGTTTGAACTTTATTGTCTTTTTCCCTGGAGTTGAAGAGTTCCAATACTTAAGGTCAAGATCTAGTAAATGACTTTAGACTAACTTTTGGTGCTAGATCCATTATGACGTCATAATCATTTTCAACTTTCTTTTTCCGGTCCTTTACGGCTCTAATAAAATTATGTAGAAAATAACGTATTTTCATGGAATCCAATTTGAAATCATGTGAAAAGTAATCCCGATGCCTATATTCAATTTAATATTATTTTAAAGAAGAGGCCAAGAACATACAAATTACCGTTTTCTGAGAGACTGTAGGCAATCTGGATACATTTCATTTGTCTGATTTGGAAAAAACTCCCGTATTCATGACAGGTTTTCTTAATTTTTCATTGAAAATGATAGTTTAAAAAATGACTTTTCGTCTTAGTTACCTACAAATTATGCCCCGAAACAACTTCTTTGACCAAGCTAAAATTATAAAGCATACTTAAAGGAATTTATTTCTCAAATTTGAGAAATCTGTAGGCATCTTTCATTTACTAGATCTTGACCTTAAAGGAATTGTGTGCTACATTTGTATGTCTATATATGCTGTTGTACACTTCCTCTAAAACAAGTTTGGATAAACAAAACATCTAGAATATGTGTTTAGTAATTTTTGTGTATTTTTCTTTGAATTATACAAGAATTTTCATTAATTGATATCTTTTCAAAACCCCTGGTAATACATGCTGATTTTTTGTCGACGAACATCTGATGGCACTATAATCTTAAATTAAGAATATCTTGAAAAATTATCAGTAGGTAAGGTACGTTGCGTATGTCCTTAAAAATAAAAGTAGGCATCACTTGATTAGCAACAGTAATTTGTTACTCTAAATGTCAAGGAAAAAGATAATGATCTTGACCTGACCTTGTTTCTCTAAAATAAAACGGTCAAATTTAACCTAAATGATACCATCATTTAGTGATATTGTCTGAGTTTCTTGAATCTATGAAAATTTCATTTATTTTTAAATACAAGAAATATGAGATCAATATGAGAAGAATCACTCCTTAATCCTCTCAGTATATTTCAAGCTGTATGATTATAGTTATTGAATTTTCACACAATTTTAGTGAAATTTGTAAACCAAGAGTCAGAAATCTTATTAATAGGCCAAGAGCAAGGTTGGATGAATGGTTTGCCCAATATAGATAGAATCACAGGTGCTTGGGGACAGGAACCCCCCCCCCCCCCGTGTTCCGTACCCCAAGGATTCTTTGACTTTTTTAAATAAAGTATTTTTCTATGACACATTCACAAAGTATTATAACTGAAAAATCCAAAATATAACCTAAAACTAGCCTTTTATAAAATTCCTACTCGATACTGGGGGTGGGGGTGGGGGGGCACAGCCATACATTTTTCAGTGACAGTTGAGGGGGCACTGCCAAAAATTTACTGACGAGCAAAAAAAAAAAGGAAAGGAAAAAAAGGTCATCAGACGTTTTTATTGAGGGGGCACAAGCATATAGTGTCAATGTTTACTATAGTAATCAATATATCGGCAACATTATTGGGGGGGGGGGCAGCCCCCCCCCGTGCCCCCGGTTCCTACGGCCATGTTTTAGCATTGATAAGAGAGTATGAATTTTATAAAAGGCTAGTGTTAGGTTATATTTTGGATTTTTCAGTTGTAATACTTTTTAAATGTGTCATAGAAAAAATATTTTATTTAAAAAAGTCAAAGAACCCTTGGGGTACGGAACACGGGGGGGGGGGGGGGAGGTGGTCCCGTCCCTTAGTACCTGTGGATAGAATGAATGATAAACGTCATACGGACCCGGTTTAAATGGTGAGGGCCTGTCCCGGGACACAATTAGATTATTCTAACTATGCCTTATCATGATCTTACAGTTAGGCGAATGTTATCACCATTATCCACAAAATTTAAGTCACAGGCGGCATTCGATCAAAGCAGGGACCTATATTAGGCCAAGAAGCGGTTCTTGGTTGCTGTTAATTGATTTGCCACAAAATACGATTTATATCCATAAAATATGTTACTTTCAGCTTCCGAAGCATGATTGATTGGATGATAATAGTTAAGAAAGCTTGGTAGGCTAATATTTGGCGGTTGCTTGTAAAATTCCCCCCCCCCCCTACGAAATAGGTTGGATATTTTCTTCTTTTTTCCCAAAACGTTACAACGGAAAATGTGACAAAAAGTCCCATGGGCCAAATCGCCTCAGGATGCTTCCATATCAATATTCATGGTTTTGCTGTTCTCGAGCTGAAGAATTTTAAAGATTTTTCCTATGTATTCCTACGTAAAACTCTGATCGTTCACCCTATCCACTCTAAATTTGAACAAATTTAACTCTATACCGAGAAGAAGATTTTTAGCGATATTTCCTATATATTCCTATGTAAAACTTTGACCCCTTTTGTAGCCCCGTCCTACCCCCGGGGATCATGATTTGAATAACTTGAATCCACACGTCTACCTGAGGATATTTCTATATTAATTTGACTAATAATGACGTGGCTGTTCTTGAGAAGAAGATTTTTTAAAGATATTTCCTACATTTCTTATGTAAAACTTCGATCCCCTGCTTTGGCCCTGCACTACCCCGAGGGGCCATGATTGGAACAGACTTGAATCTACACTACCTGGGTATACTTCTATAATAATATGAAGAAGATTTTTAAGGACATTTCCTATTTATTCCTGTGTAAACTTCGACTCCCTTTTGTGGCCCTGCCCTACTCCCGGGGGTTATTATATGAACATACTTGAATCTAGAGTATGTGATGAAGGTTTCACGTAAGCTTCATCTTTTCTTGCCCAGTGGTTCTTGAGAAGAAGATTCTTAAAGATGCCATCAAATTTTCGCTAATTCTTAATTATCTCCCCTTGAAAGAGAGCGTGGCACTTTGTGTGCAAAATTAAACCCCCTTCACCCAAGGATTCTTTGCGGTAAGTTTGGTTGAAATTGTCCCACTGGTTCTTTAGAAGAAGTCGAAAATGTGAAAAGTTTACAGGCGATACACGACAGACGGACGCCGGACACTCTTTGATCAGAAAAGCTCTCTTGAGCCTTCAGCTTAGGTGAGCTAATAACGGGGGGGGGGGGGGGGGGGGGTTTCAGATATTTAGGAATGTTTAGTTAGTGAAAGCAATTACATTTCTATCATTAAAGTAGAAACAAAATGGAATTTCTATGTAGAGATAAAGAGCGCTTATTTATTGACATTCAGTATTATCACAATCTGATCGACGCAAGATCAACGCAAAATTTTAATAACGCAAAATGTAATAGTCCCAGTTCATTATATTTTTGCGTCTTTATTACATCACAGATTATTTGAGTTCATTCTATTTCCATATCTTTGTAAAATTAACTTATTAATTAATAGATTAACATTTATCAATTAATTAAATTTAAAAGAGTAAAATTTCCTATTTATGATTGAGACATTAGAATTATTTTGAAATGTCATACTGTGCTACAAAGTAGGGTATATTTTATTTTCCAGTCGGTAAAGGGATTGACTCAATAATAGCAGATCAGGGATGTAGTTATTTAGGCAGCTATTTATTTTATCTACACAAAGATGGATTTATTTATCTATTTATAGCTGGATAATTGTTTTGGCAATAAACTTTTTATGATACAAAAATAGACCCCCAGAAAGGGAGAAACAAATAAAGAATATAACAAGGAATTTTACAAGTCTATCAATAATGACAAAGGATGTAAAAGTTACTTTTTAGTAATGGTCACTGTAATAAGGGCATAATTTTATTTAACAATTCCTATACTTTTCTTTCTTAAGTTATGTTTTACTTCATATTCACGTTGAGACGAGTACAAAAAACT